AGCGGATATCAGGCCATAAGTCAACCGGCCAGTCCGGTGGCCCAAAAAGACCCGGAAATCAGACTTCTGAAACAATGAAGTTGGTTCCATGCCTCATTTATGGTGGCGCGCGCATCAGGTACAATTGTCTAGATCTTTCTGGACTAGTCAGCGGGAACCTGCACAAACGACTTGGTCAGCTAACGCATTGGCCTAAATTGAGTCTGCACTTTTGAACACGAGGTGCAGAGCCTATCTTCCCGACACTAGAATTGACGACCTCAGGCAAAAGATTGGCCGGTCCGTACCATCTTTGGGTCAGTTTGGAATTAGCAATGCCTGCTTTTCTCCCATTCTCGGGTATTGCGACATCCCATTGGATCCTCACGAAGAGGCACGGCTCAAGTTTGTTCTAATCCTGCATTGTCATGCTTCGGCTCCATGGATGATGAGTTCGGTCTTGCCAGCCTCGGAGAGGCGTTCACTATTCGTACGGTCACTCAAGCCGCTAGTCAAAGTAAGCGCGGACAACCTAAGAACACAGCGCCGTGGAGAGAAATGGTCCGATGGCAAGCTGTCAACCAGGTTAAGGCGAAACCCTATTCTCATCGCACGTGTCATGTGGCGAGCCTGTCTCTGCCGGCCGAGACACGTCTCTACAAGTCGAGTCTGATCATGGTTCATCAGGACCGATTCTGCGGCAGCTCGAGCGTTGTGCTCATAGACAAGCCACCAAAGGATGCTGGGTCGCATGGGCGGCTTTAGGGCCGAAAGCTACGTGGTGGATCTTCAACAAGACCACGACTTTTGCCAAACGTGTCTTTGGTGTGGCTGTAGAAGACGTGAGGCTGCCTCCACCATCGTCGTCAGCCTAGACTTGAAGTTCTCTGGCTGCATACAATTGTTCCGATGACACGAGGTCAGAGCTCCTCCGCAACGAATTCGCTACTATCAACTTGTTTCAACCAATCCAACGGCACTTAACGCAGGGTGTCGGTCAACTCTGGACGTCATCCCAACACCTGGATCTCAATGGCCGGGATTGTCCGCTAGACGCCCATCTCCTTTCACGACGACTGCAAGCTGCCGCTGATAGCCCTCCTCGTCGCCAAGGGCAAATCCTTTCCCTATCTGAAGGGGTTGTTTGTGGCGTTTCATCCAGGCCCTTGATCAACGGGTAGGTGCAGAATTGCTGCATGGAAGGAAAGCTCAGCGAGGCTTGGAAGGCGTCGTCTTCCGCTCACCAACCGAACGACCTCGACTGACCCGGCTACACGCCGATGCAGGTCAGTAGATCCTCCGCTCCTTGGTTCGAAGAAGGCGCCTTGATCTAAGCCTGAATCCATCTGTTGTATCATGTACAGGCAGACTATGGCGATGGAAACGTTGCTTGTGCTAAGAGTCTCTAGCCATCAGGCTTGAGCGCTTGTCAGCTCGCGGATTGATGAGCGGTATAGCATCATTCCACCTTGATTGCACCCTTAGACACGGCCACAAAGACTTGCTTGCCTGAATAGCCCCACGGACCTGGGCCATTGAGAAGCTTGGCCAGCAGCAAAGTCGAGTTGTACAGACTCCCACCCCCCTGACCAAAATACCTCGACTTTGGCCCTAGCCGGCTCCCGTTACCTTTGCTTGACGGCTTGGCGATGGGAAGTTTTCCTACCCTGCGCATTCGGTTCACACACCTGTAATCGTATTCTAGCAAAGGAAGCACCAAAGGCAGGAAAAGCACGTCTTTTCGAAAAGTCGACCGGGGCTTCTGGGAGCTCTCCGCAGTGCCGCACGACTGAATGTCTCTTTTTGCCGTTGTCTCAGAGACTGCACAACCCATTTGCTGCTCGCGCGCGGAGGCCCCCGCCCTACCTCTCCCCGATATTGTATATTGTATCCATTACACCTTGGGCTTCTAGGACAGTAGCCGGACCTCTGCTTGCGAAATCCAGCTGTCTGCTGCTTCTTGGTTTGTGCAACTGTGTCTAGCAGTCAGTCGCAGTTGGAGCCTCCAACCCATCTCTGTCTCTCTGTGCGATCCTGAGCCAGCCACATCTGGGGTTTCTCTGGGAGGGTATATAGATACCTTGCTTCCACGATCCTGCACTTTTTTGGGCCTCTCGTAGACTCTTCGACTTAGACAACTACATCTCCAGGACAGAGACTCCCTCGATATCTGTTTAGAACGAATAGAAGCTACCGGTTTCGACTGCTCGAGTTACTGAACCTTCCTCGCATTACGGCCTACAACAATTCACTTCGAAAGCCTATCCGATACTCGGAGAGACAAGACATTAACCAACAACAGTCTAACATCTGATCAACACGAAAAGTTGAAACACGAGAGAATCGTCATATAGTAAGTGGAAACCGCAACTCTTCCTCCTTTCCCCCTCGTGGACTATCACTAGGTCTCTTTGGCGCGATGCTCCCTCTTCGTAAGTTGTGGGTTGCCACTCAGGGCGATTTGCACCGGGGTTCGTTGGCTAGGACCCATCTTGCCGGTTCCCCCGCGTCATAACCTGATTCGCGTTGATTGAGGACGGGGTCAATCGCTGGCTTGCTGACCATTATTGATGAGGCAGCTGCACAATCTGTCGCTGAAAGATAAATGAGAACTAACTCCATTTCAGGTACCTATAGCAATCTGTCGTGCTCTTCTTCCTGCGAGTAAGTGAGACCGCGCTCTCCGTTGATCACCTAGTGTGGAGGAGGACGACCCAGCCAGACCATCTCCAAATGGGAATGCGCAACCAGATAGGCGGGAAAGACAGCAGCTTGATGTGCGCTGCATAAGGCAGTCTTGGAATCCGCGCAGAGGATTTGTCAATGTTTACGGCACAGCTGTAACGGCGCGATGCTGTTCTTGCCCTACCCGTGGATCCACGGCGGTGTCTCTAACACGATCGATCGATCATGCTGGAGCAGTGGGAGATGCGCTCATGGGTCAAAAAGAAACGGCCACGTTTGTTTCTGACAGAAACGCAAGTTGGGTCCGTTGCTGACGGCAGATTCGAATCGGCTAGGTCAAGCAGGATAAAGAGCTGCACGCAAACCCTTGGCATGACAGGGGCACTCTTGGAGAGTCAACCGGTGAGTATTGAAGCCCCGTGAGCCCGCGTGGAGTGTTGGGAAGAGTATCTTTCGAGTCGATTCTTGGAGCCGAGCCAAGAGGCAGAACAGTCTACAAGACGAGCATCGCGGCAAATCAAGCCAGTACCTGCCGAATATCTGAGAGGGAAAGGCAACAGAAGCAAGTCAGTGGAAGAGGATTGGACGAGTTTGTCGGGTGTGTTGGTGGGATGGTTGGGTTGGGTTGGTTGGAAATGGAGCCAGGATGTTTGTTATGGGAACATTGTGTGCTGACAGTTGCGGTGTCGAAACAGAGGATCGAGGAACTGGGGCGACGAGAGCGCTGTTCCAGCGCCAGCACTAGCACCAGTGCCAGCATCAGTACCAGATCACCGCCCCTCTACTACGGCACGACACCCCTCGTGGCCGGCACAGACGACCGTCGTATGAATCCTCAACAGCTACCAAAGGTACCGTGTTATCCGGCATCCTATTTCTGCCCCCTCGTTCCCTTCGGAATCCCTCCCTTTTTCGCGGCTCGCTTGCTTCCCTTCAGGCTTATCCAAGAGGGGGGGGAACTCGTTATGGATACAATGTTCCTATCCTGGTTGGCCTGCCTTACCTGATCGAACAACCATAACAACCCCCTGCAATGTCACTTTTACGCTTCGTTCCCGAGCCCTCTTCCCTTCCGTTCCCTTCTTTCCCTTCCCATTTCCTTTACATCGGATCGCAACGGACGCTGTGCCCTACGGATACTCCGTACCCGGAAATCGAAAAAAAAATCAGCTGGAGCAACAATTGCGGCGGATGCTGCAACATACCAACAACAATAACAACAATGGACCGGCATGTTCATCAACTTTGATTGATTAAGTCGGCCAGGAACCCGTCCATCGGTCGGCGGATGGGGTCGGATCTGCTGCACAGCTACCTAGCTCATCAGCAGCACATTTACGATTACGATCCGGCACAAATTAGCATTATCGGCAAGACGAGACATTGCAAGACAAGACATTTTACGCACAGGACAAGACGAGCGAGACAGACGCGCAGAAACCAACAACGCCTTCAACGGGTGGCGCAGGCAAGGAAGGGCGGGCGAGTCGAGGGCTGGTCCACGCCCAGATCCACGTTCCTAGCCACGTCCCGACGGCCTGAACCTGTCCCGAAGTACGGACAGGCAAGGAAGCGGGCCGAGTGAGGCTTTGCGAAAAGGTGCGTACGCGATTTGGCTCTCATTGCTTTTTCCAATGTCTCTCCTGCCTTGCACACATTCGTCGACGGCACTTTGAGTTCGTCTTGTTTCTCATTTTTCTTCCCTCTCGCCATCTCAAATCACCTGCCTCCCCTTGGAATTGCATTCGGACCAGACAGAGCAAGAGGAGGAAGAAGAAAAAAGCAAGAAAAAAAAAGAACAAGGTTGAGGGAAGAGAGCAGAGCAATGCAGCAGAACAGAGCACATTTGGGCCCCCATTCGAGGACAACCAACATGCATGCAATTGCTCCAGTCGCATACTTTTGTGCTTTATTCGTTTCTTTGCTCTCTCTCTCTCTCACACACACTCTGTCGCTCTCCTTTGGGGCCTTGAACTTCCATAGGCCCATCTAATGGGACGAGGAACATAAGACTCGGAGACGATTGGTACTACCACCACCACCATCAATGCCTTGTCCCCCGACACTCAAAAGGCGCGCTGCTGGAGAGGGGGCATCGATGTGCCTCGCACTCATTGAATCACTCACTCGCTCACTCCCGGGTTGATGTGAGGTGTGCCAGCCGGGCGTGTGAGCTTGAGAGGGAGATGTGAGCATGCAGATAAGTGTGTGTATGAGTGTGTGTCTGCTCTGCAAGACTTATCACTTTGGCCTGTCGGCAGGCTCGCTCATCTGCAAGTCATGCAAGCAAGTACACTGTGGTGCCTGATGGTATTGGATTGTACCGTGTCTTTCCCATGTTGCCTCTTCTCCTCTCTCTTTCTCTCTTACGCTCTCTCACTCTCACTCTCACTCTCACTCGCCCACACACATACACACACCACACGCACCTGTACACACACACGCACACACCGTCCCTCTCACTCTCTTTCCCTCTGTCTCTGTCTGTCTCTGTGTCTCTTAGCCTCTCTTTCTTTCACTCAGTCTCTCTCTCTCTCTCTCTCTCTCTCTCTCTCTCTCTCCCTTCCCCTACTGCTGTCTCCCTCTTCCCCCTCCGCTGCTGCTGCTGCTCCCGCTGCTGTTGTTCTTCTGCCGCCGCTGCATCCACCGTGGCTCCTCATCGGTCGGGCTCAACGAGACCGACCAGGCCCAGACCGGTCAACCCCAATACCAGCACCCACCCCCTCCCTCTTCTACCTCATTCTCAAACTAGTTTATCGCATGTTACCTCCTTGTGGGAAGATGTCTCTCTTTGGCACGCCCAGCTAACTATCGCCCATGATTGCGCCGCAGGTCACTCACTTGTCCCCTCTGTCCGCTTGTCTGTGGCGGATCACGCCTGAGGCGTCTCGCCCCCGCAACACCCACACAGCTTCCCCCCCGGCTACTACTCCAGCAACGGCACAGCATCCAGATCACTTTGCGAGATCTCATTCTTATTCCCATCATCTTCATTCTTCCAAGAAAGAAGGAAAGGCTATGATCTAACAAGTGCTGCCATCCAAACAGGAGTTCGAACCGTCGACAGGCTATGATTACCTTGACATGCAGGCAGCTTCGAGCAATGACATGCGGTATGTAAACTTCTCCTTGATTTTGATCTCGACTCCTGCCCGGTCCTTGCCAGGACATGGCTTCTGCTTCTTCCTCGGGACTGCAGGATCGTGGTGCTGCGGTGTGCAGGCCTGGTCGGTCATGGCTTTCTTCAGGGTATCCAGTCACTTGGAGCCCTGGTCAGAATTCCACCACCGACTTGGCAATCGTACTCCTCGCTCTGCGAGCCCTACTAAAGATACAGACTTCCTTGGCTCGAATTCTTCTCTTCTGATCGGTTCTCGGCTCAGCGTCCTAGTTTGGCGTGCCTTGGACGCGGAAAAGACGTATGCAGAGACAAGGGCATCTGATCTTTGCAGCGGCGAAGGATGGACAGGCGTGGGTAGCTGCCTTCTGGCAACCAACGTGCGACTAGAAATCCGCAGGCGTTCCCGCCTATCGCAGCGAGATGGTTGTGCGTCCTCGCATGACCCGATCCTGTATCCGCTGGCCGTTGTGCAACACGCTGCTGGCAGTACGACGAGTTGGTAGCACTGACACTGTGTCTCGCATGCGGATGCGGTACAGCAGTTGTCGTGCCAGGCTCCAACCCTTTTGCTTTGTACAAGCCTCTTCTTTCGGGGAGCCACTCGGGCTGACGAGAACATCAGATACGAACACAACGCCAATGCTTCTCTGTCGACGATCGAAGGCCCGCCACAACAGTCGACACTCTTAAACCTATTCAATCCACCTATAAGCAACACCACTCCGTACTCCGCTGACGGCGGCTTCTACCATCCAGCCACCTCTCACGTCTACCCCAGCCTGGACGTCGTCAGGCCTCGCCTGGGTTCAAAGTAGGTTGCACACTGTTGCCCCTCTCCGACACGCTACCAGATGGAATCGATCCTATGCTGTCAAGATAGAAAGACATGGTCAAACTCACAGACTTACTTGACAGTAGCACCTCTTCAACGGGTATGGCACATGCCCACCGCTCCACAGCATTACCCCATCCTGGCACACACATCAGCACTCGAGACCAGTACTCTCCAGCGACGCCATCCTTCAGGAGGGTGTCGGAGCACCAGCCCAGATCTCCATCGTACCCAACTGCTCTACGCCGTCACCCCATCTCGCCAACGTCTAGTCCCATTACCGGTTTCACGGCGCCCACGGCTCTGAGGATGGACTCCGGTCACTACCCTTCGTCCTCCTCGAGGGCACAGGCGAGCGTGCCTCCACTGGGCAGCATCAACCCCCTCGGCATTCTCCAATACACTGACGGAAACATGGGGCAAGTCAAGATTGACATACAAGGCAATATCGACAAGGGCTTCTTCCAGTCTGAAGGAGACTGGACCTGCTACAGGAGGAACTACTTTTCTTGCATCTGCTCCTTCGGCCTGACCCCGCACTATCCTGGTCAGGGTCTACAATTCACACCGCAAGGCTCGACACAACCGTACTCAGTTCTCGGTTTCGCCATGTCCATCTCTGCTGTTGTTGCTGAGAACGATACCCACGTTATCGACCTCGTACAGCATACGCCTAAAAGAGACAAAGGTCCCGTCGAGAAACCGGGCAAAGTGCGCCTCCACCCGAAACACCCTCAAATGTCGCATCCTCTCGGCCTCTACTCCCACGATACCGGGATAGGAGGTTCGTCAAGACTCGGCGGGTATGACGCCCCAGGTGGATTCGTTGGTCAACAAGGTGGCGGTGACTCGTACCAGACAGAACACACATTTGAGCGCATCCAGTTCAAGCAGGCTACAGCAAACAATGGGAAGAGGCGAGCTGCCCAACAGTACTATCACCTTCTGATCGAGTTGTGGGCCGATGTAGGATCGCAAGGCCCGGACAACTATGTACGGGTCGCCTATCGAAAGTCGGCCAAGATGATTGTGCGTGGCCGGTCGCCAGGGCACTATCAGAGCGAGAGGCGCGCCAGCACAAGCAGCGGGCCAGGAGGCTCGGGCGGGAGCTTCACCGGATACCCAACTAACTCGATCATCGGTCCCGACTTTGGGTCCGCAGGTGCGATGGTCGGAAGCGGATACGGGGGAGGCTTCGACTCCCGGGGAAGCGCCCATTACGGGTCGACACGACACCATCCAGAACTCGAAACCATGCTGCCGCCAGAAGACGCCAAAGCCATCGAGACGACGAAGGAATACCAATATTATCCGGGTCATATTTACGACACGAGCGATTCCAGGGGTGGCGTGGAAATGTTCACCCATAGCCGCCACGCGCAGGACAACTTGGTACCGCACATGACGCCAACCTACGACCCTCTCCACGACAGAGTCAAGCGGGATCCTGAGGGGGCGATGTTGCCAAGCATTTTCCAACCTGGGGCACTCATGTCGAACCAAAGATGCGGTCCTTTTGAGGGCAAGCCGACGTCGGGTGGGTACTATCCAACAATGGTGCCCCCGTCCGGTGTCAATGTCTCCAACATGACATGAAGAGACATGAACACAAGCAATTCTTGCGAACACCAAGGCCGCCATGGTGGATCGCGGTCTGTACAATGAGGAACCCTGCAGCGGTTGGGCCCACCAGCAGAAGCGGGCAAACGGTTTATCAGCAAACAGCTGTTTTTTCCTTGGGGTCCTCTTCTTCTGGTTTCGTTTTTCGAGGAAATAATGAAAATTTGGCATAAACACGAAGGCGAGATTCTGGCGTATGGGAGCAACACAGGCATCAGGAACACCACTCGATACCCGAATGAGACTGAATGCATCGTTGACATTGAGTAAGCACAACATGGGTGGGGGGAAAACAAAACAAAGGGATCACGGCGAATTGGCGCGCGGAAAAGAGAAAGATAATTGTTGGTTTGAAATGGGATGGAGGGAAATTTGCCCCCAGCACACCCCGACGTTGAAACATCTTGGGAAGGAAAAGTTTGGGAAAAACGAAAAGGACATTGTCGGCCAGGCGGCCAGAGGGAGGGGGGGGGAGGCGGGACACGGTGAACGACAGACATTGTTAGGGATACCCGCCGCGCATTGTTGTTTGGGATCTTGTTCTCTATTTTGTTTCCCGTTCATGTTTGGGGTTTCCTTCGTTCACGGCTCCTCCTCCTCTGTTGTAACCCCACCCCCTCCCCTCTTTCTCGAAAGGCCATGCGGTGTAGTAATAATGTGAGGATAAGGAACATTCGCTTCAACAAAGACAAAGTTTTTATTTTCCTATCGAGTCGGATACTAAGGAGAGAAAGATACCACGACATGAGGGGATAACGGATGGAGACGAAGTGCCCGAACGTATGGACGGGGAAGGTGGGGAGGATGACGGCGTACGAAGTTTCGAAGCGGAACGGACTGAGTGTGGTTTCTTCTGGAGGGCCAGGTACTGGGGAAGCAGCGGCGGGTGCCGATGCCAGGTACTTGGTTTGTTTATTTTATTTTTTGAGGGGGGTGTATCAATTGTGCCAACTTTAAGCTTGAGCTCTTGACCCTTTTCCCACATACTCTTGTCCTTTGCGGCGAAATCTTTTGACATTATTATCCCACCACTAAAACGTGATGCCCTACATGGTGCCTTGACATGCTCCATGTGTCTCTATGTATCTATGGGAGTTGTGCCGCATATTGAACGAGCTCTGGATCTATTGTCCGCTACGGCAGTCTGACTGGACAGAGTGCGAAAACGTCTCTTTGTTCGTCTTTGAAGAAGTCCCGACGACGGGTACGGCTGAAATGCGACAGGATGCGCAGCCGCGCAGAAGGGAAGGAAAGGCCGGCTTGGGCTGGGTCACAGCCCGAGGGGGGATGACAGTGGGAAGGGTGGGCGAGGATGAGCATCCCGCCCGTTTTTTTTTTTTCCTTCTTCCCCCCTTGTAAGCTACGAGAAAAGTGCCAGAGAGAATTGGGAAAATGCAGGGTAGGGAAAAAAAAAAAAAAGGCAAGCAAACTTGGAATTTTTGCGACATGCCTTCCCTTTCTCTTTACCGGTATCCCTACCCCTGCACGAGCTGCACGAGCTGCCTCTGTCGGCTTGGCCCGGAGATCATAGCCAGCCCTTGCTAATTTCCACCCAATATGAGCCCTTCACCTACCCGATGGCTGGAAGGCAGGTCTGGTCTACTGTGGTAGAAGGGGGGGTGTGGTGGTGTTTAGTTTGGCACATTCACGGGTTCGTGGGTGGTGTGGTGGGTTTCACGAGGGGGGCAGGGCAGGGGGGGATTGGGAAGTGGGAAGGGGGGGGGGGGGGGGGGGGGGGGGGGGGTGGGGGGGGGGGGTGGGGGGGGGGGGGGGGGGGGGGGGGGGGGGGGGGGGGGGGGGGGGGGGGGGGGGGGGGGGGGGGGGGGGGGGGGGGGGGGGGGGGGGGGGGGGGGGGGGGGGGGGGGGGATGAAAAAGGGCCTTGTTTGGGGTCAAGACTGTCGTGAGGTCCCGCAGATTGCAGAATTGTCTCTTTTCTCTCGTTCAAGGGGGGGAGGGGATGGTTCCATTGGGCCTTCTGTCACATACCCGATGCGAACCAGTTAGAAGAGGACGAGGGACTGAGGGGAAGGATACGGAGAGATGAAGTCGACGAGAAGGGGGGAAAGAGGGTATGGAAAGAGAGAGTTGCAGAAAGAGTGTGGTCCTTTGTGCAAAAAGCAAAGCAAGGGAAATCAGCCGCTGAAAAAGAAAAAGAAGTTGAATTCCCGCCGGTATGGTTCTATACGAACCTTGTCGGAACACAGCATGAACGACGGGAAGACGGTCAGAAGAGAGCTGTTCAGGTGCTCTGGTATTTTGGAGAGGGTGGGCAGACGGGATCGCGAGCTTTGCAAACTTATCAGCTGTAAGTGAGAAGGGGAAAGGGGGGGGGGGGGGGGGGTGGGGGGGGGGGGGGGGTGGGGGGGGGGTGGGGGGGGGGGGGGGGGTGGCGAGGGGGGGAGAGAAAAGTGGGAGGGGGGGGGGGGGGGGGGGGGGGGGGGGGGGGGGGGGGGGGCTTGAGAGGGATGGGGGAATGATGAGAGAATTTCAGCGATGGCGATGTAGGAAGCCGTTGGTTCATGCGCGTGAGCGGGAGACGCCGACGGGTGGGTGCGGATCGAGTTAGGTATCTGATTACCTCACTTTTCAAGGAGTTGGGAACAATTTGTTTTGGGGGTAAAGTGTGTGGGAGATGAGGTTTTCTTTTCTTGGCTCTGTTAGTCCCCGTTCTGCTGGATTGGCTTCTTGGGCTGTGCAAAAGACGCGGCGACCCGTTTGATGTTGGGGGGGTATGTATGTGTGCGTATCTTGAGTGACGGAAAGAGGCTTGTTTCCACCGGATGGTTGGTTGGGTGGATTTGTCGCACGGCGTCAGTTGCGTTCTTGGGCGCCTACCCTGTGATCATCATTTTTGTGATCTAAGGGGGGCTGTGTCGTTGTGATCGGATGAGGGCCCCAAGGTCCCAGTCGTATGGGTGCATGTAGATGCCAAAATTTGGATGAATGGTTATTGTAGTTCTTTTCGGTGCGATGATGTGATGGGATTGATAAAGTGGGATGGAAGGGAAAAGCAATTTTACCTCCTGTCCATACCTACCTTGAGGCATGCAGTAATAATAGAGCCCGGATTAAGAGATACAAGTCCGGTACAGAGTACGTACCCACCTAGTATTTTTAAGATGGAGAAGGTGGAGTACGGAGTAGAGTGGTTGAGAGGAAGGCAGGGGATACGGGTGACGGGCTTAGGTAAGGGAAGAAACGGTCGGAATGGCCCGTGGTTGGCAGTTGTAGGAACCGAAAGGACACACAGATGACGGTATGCACGACCCGAATCGCCGGAAAGTGGCAATCTCGGCTGATGCCTCTCGTTACCAGAATCGAAAATTGCGACGAGATTGGCTTTGTCCATTGTTCGATAAATGGGCAAATAGCAGTGGGTGTAAAATGGTAAGATGAGAAGGCTGGAAAAGAGGAGGGTTGAGATTCGACGTACTGTACTCTATACCCTAGCCACTGGGGGGGAAGGGTTGCAGAACCCCCCATCGCAAGGTTGTGAGTCTGCCCAGGTTTGAAAGGCGACAGGATGAAAGGATACGCTCGAACACGGAGGTCAGGTCCGAAAATGCATAACTCGTCTTATTCGTCGTCTCCTCGGATCTTCGGAGCCTGCTTCTCGCCGGTGCTTATCTTTGCGAATGCTCGCTTACCAATGATCCCCTGTAATTTCCTTCCATAAGCTCATCGTTGCTTCCCAGCCTCACCCAAGGTAGCTGCTACCTTACCTAAGATCAGATCATGGGTGCAGGTGAGGCAGGCACGTTTGGTGGTTGGTGTTTTGTGAGCAAATTCTTGGGGAAAGAACTCCACAACTTTTTTTTTTTTTTTGGATTGATGTCCAATTAAGGTTTTTGAGTGACATTCTGTGGAGAGAGGGGAGGAAGGAGCTTAGCTAGGAATTTTCGAGTTACTTTTTTTGGTTTTGGTCTAGGGGGGATGGGAAAGGCAGCTTCCGCGGGCGGGCAGAAAAAGAAGAAAGGATAAACCAAGAGGCGCGCACGAGTGGCAGACGGGGAACGGAATGGAGTGCGAAATGGGCTTGGCTTACCTACTTAGTCTTGCATCTCCGAGACCACTGGGCCTTATTAGCCTTGTCCCTGTTGGACTTAGCACCATGGGCCTGACTATGGTGGGGGGAAGACCAGGAGAGCACCTCCAGAAAAAGATGGGAGGGATAAGGTAGCCTAGAGGTACGGTGGGCGGCCGAAGAGGGGCCCCCGGAGGTATCTCCGCTAAGATATTTGAGAGGCAGAAATGTCTGAGATATTTTGTCATTGCGGGCTTTCAATCCCCGCGTGCCATGTTTTTGTCTCTCATTTTCCACTTGTCTCACGGTTCCCCCCTCGACAGATTTCCGAGTCTACGCGGACGAGTCAGAGGTTTTGTATTGGAAAAAAAAAAAAAAAAAAAAAAAGGTGACAGTGGGGGAAGAGACTGCACGAGAGAAAGCATCGATAGCATGTCACTACCTATGTGCTTTGCAACTTGCTCCGTTCCTGGGCATGAGGGGGCTAGTAACTATCTTACCTTAGCTTGCTTAGCACTGCTTAGGTAGGAGCTTACCACCTTAGCTGGGTCCAGGCCCTGCGCGCGCCTAGCTACAGCGACGGCGTCCCGTGGCGGGGATCAACCTTCTCAGCCCGGCATATCTTATAAGTGCGGCCGCTTGCAGCCAGATTACCTAGCTTTTGTTGAAAATGCCACGGCTAATTCCGTCTTTGGTCTGCGCTGAGATAGCTCGACTAACGACCAGCCTTGGCTTATAAGCATTCCAGAAAAGACACGTCGTCGAGTATCGGTGAAATCTGGATGGGAAAGTGGATGGGACGAACGGTGCGCTAGGATGCTGGACAGGGTGCACAGTGCACAGTGCACCGGGCGCGACCCGGTGATGGTCCATCAGACGGGAAGGTTGTGGTCGGCCCGGGTGCGGGGTACCCTTCACCGAACACCGAAGGGATGATCCGATGACAAAGAT